TAAAATTATTTTATCAAGAAGAATGCTCCCAAACCTAGGATACGTGAAAAGTATTTTAAATCTCCCCTTACACAATGTTACAATGATAAGTCCATATACATGGTTTCTATGGTTATCTCATAGCATTAAACTGTTCTTGCTAAGGAACAGGCTTGTAATCCTTTGGTTCAAAGAACAGATGGTCTGTCAGTACCGCCAATGAATTTTTATTTCATCACTTACTGATCAACGCAGTATCTAAATATATAATTGCCATACAGTCTCTTCATTCTTTCTCAGTTCATACAATCATAAGTTGGTCACGACATGGAGTTAAATGAACTATCAAATTAATTAATTTGGCCCAAGGTTTTGCCAAAACTAAACCTTCTTTCTCTATCGATTCTCATTTTGCCACACAAAAAAACGGCATATGAAAAAACTTTTTTTTGAAAACACAGGTTTGTTCTGTTGTATAGCAAAGCCACACTGGGCTATTTGCTGTGTCCATCACAAAGAATTGAAACCCAATTATTTTAGCATTGCAAGTCTGTAGACTCACTGATAACATTGTATGCTTCTTCAAAGGAACTCTGTTACCCCCCACCCTCAATATACAGACATTCAGCATAATAAGTTTGTATTGAAAGGGACCTAAGAGTATTGTAGTATACACAGTTACATGGGTATGGTCATATCACTTTCTTCAAAGGGGCTGTATTTATAAGCTTAAACAGACTAATTAACGGAATCTTATTATCAAGAAGCATGTAAGGGAGAATCAGTTGTGCAAAAAGAAAAATGACTGAAACAAAAAGAATTGCAATCCAAATGTAAAAGTTTTTCAGTGTCATCACATTTTGACAGCCACCTTGGTAGTTGCTGAAACAACTTCCTTGAAAGTTTAATCCAAACAATATAGAACTTAACTGTTATAAATATGATTTTTCAATTTTAAATTATGTGTCAAAATACCATATAAACAAAAATATATTTACTTAAATTTTATATAACAATATAGTTTTCAAAAAGGATATATTTTCACCATTTTGTATATTAATTTTAACATTTTTGGTGCAACCCCTTCCCCCCTCCTACACATGGAGAGGGTTCCAGGAGCAAAATAATCCTATTTAAGGCAAAACATCAATCACCTCTCCATCTCCTTCCTGTCTCTCTCCAACATAATCTTCATCATCTTCATCAAAATCATCTAAGAAAATTTCTTCATGAACCTGTTCTAGTTCTCCTTCTATTACAACATCAGCGGTGTCTTCCATGCCACCTTCATCTATAAATTCTGTTGTAGAGTCCTGTTCTGTGCTCACTTCTCCTTCATGCTGAAACTTTAATTAACACAAGTTATTACAACCATCAGAAACAATGCCTTATGGTCAGCTGTTTGTGTTACAAGTTACTGATCATAGTATTCATACTGAACTCTAAAAAAAATTGTAAAAAAAAAAGAAGTATTTTTTCTGGGAAGTACTGCATGGGAAAAGTGTTCAGATCAAAATGATTCAATGTAAAGAACTAAAATTTTTCATAAATTTTACTGATATAAACTGTAGTGTTGTTTTTTTATATACAAAAGTGCTATCCTTTATTGGAAAAAAAGTAGTTTTTCAAGAACTCCAGTTTTTTAGTACTACGTATAAAAATTGCACCAATAAAGATGTAATCAAACCCTCACTTAACACTCTTAGTGAAGTTGTGTTATTGTTGTGTAGGTGGAGTAGTTTTATTTAAAATTGTGTTATATTATAAAGAAATGGTTATTGCACATACCATAGTTATTTTTCTAATTGTCTGAATCTTGAATGCCCAAAATGTTACATATTTTATGGATTTTTGTTTGTGGTGTCATTCAATAGATGGCGCCACATTTCATGTAATTTTGGTACACTATCCTACCAAAAGTCATTGGTCACGGATAATTATGAATAAAACGTGTCTTTATTCCAAGAAATTAATAGCATGTTCACCCGCTTTTGCCTTAATGACTGCTTCAATGTGTAGTGGAAGACTGTCTACTAATTTCTGGTATAAAACTGGTGGTACTGTGCTCCACTCTTCCTTAAAGCATTAGTAAGCTCCACTACTGAAGAGGTCCATCTTGGCCTTGCCCTAATTCTGTATTCCAATTCATCCCAAACATGTTCTATCGGATTAAGATTGGGGCTCTGTGTTGGCCACTGCAATGTTCTGATGTTATTCTCTCCAAATCACACGTTCACAATCCTTGCTTTGTGACATGGAGCATTATTATGTTGGAAGGTGTAAGGGCCTGTACCATAAAATTGCCACAGTGTAGGAACACAGAATTGTTCAGAACATTAACGTAGGACTCAGCATTCATAGATCCATGCCCTGCAACCAGTGGACCTAGTCCATACCATGAGAAGCACCGTCAGACCATGATACCGCCACCTCCAAACTTCACTGTTGGGACAACACACTCAGGTAATAAGCATCCTCCATACCCAAACACATCCATCAGACCATGATACCGCCACCTCCAAACTTCACTGTTGGGACAACACACTCAGGTAATAAGCATCCTCCATACCCAAACACATCCATCAGACTGGAAGAGTGTGTTGCATGACTCATCGCTCCACAGGACCAATTTCCATTGATCAACAGTCCAGATTTGGTGTGCCTTGCCCCACGCCAATCAAAGGTGTGCATTTGTTTTTGTTATTAATGGCTTGTGGGCTATAGCTCTTCTGTGAAAATTCATGACATGCAGCTTTTGTCATGTTCTAGAAACATTTATAGGATTGCCTGTGGCTGCTCTCATCTCCAAGCACAATTCTCTAGGGTCTTACGGCAAGATGAGGTAACCAGCCTTATCAAGGCAGGTTGGCTCCTTTCAGTCAGTATTTTATGCCTACCTGTTTATTTCTTGGGGTCATTGTCACTTGTGGACTTCCATTTCTTTGCCAGTTGTTGACATGGGAATGTTTAATTGTTTCACAATAGCACATACAGACATTTTCTCCAAATGACATCCAACTATCCTTCCTCCCTGAAACTCTTTCCGTGTACTCATTGTTCAATGTAAAAGTTTGAAATGACTTCTGAGAAAACTGCTGATCACCTTTATAGGCCAAACTATTCACATATTTTTGTCGTCACACCCACTTTCCTGCAATCAGAGGTGTGTCCCATGACTTTTGGTAGGATAGAGTACATACATACTTATAGTAAGAAAATAACAGATACTAAAGGTGGATACACTATAGTAAATGAGTAACAAATGTTAGAGAAAAACAGACACCAAACATTCATACCATAACAGTACAATGATGGGAATCATCTTAATTCATAATATTTGTTTATCACCTAGTGACTGCATCCATATTCAGGTTTTATATATATACACCTGGAAAAAAGTTAAGCACCCCCGTGTTTTTTTCAAGTGATTCAGATTCGACG